CCGCCCCCTCGCCGCCGGGCGGCCGGAGCAGGCGCCGCGGACCGAGCCGCAGCCCCGGGCTGGAAAACCGCCCGCCGGAGCCCCGGAGCCGAGCGCAGCGGGACCCTCCGCCCGCGCCTCGGGGACTGACCCCGCGCCCGGGACAGACGGGCCCAGGCAGGGCCCTGCTGGGGCGCCGGGCTAGTGGGGCCCCGGGGACAGGGGCCGGGGCCGGCGGCCGCCCCATGGGATAAGCAGCATGCCCGTCCGGCGCGGGCACGTCGCCCCCCAGAACACCTTCCTGGACACCATCATCCGCAAGTTCGAGGGGCAGAGTAAGTGCGGGGCCGGGAGTGTCCCCCAGCCCCTGCGTGTGTGTGTCCCTGTGTGTGCCCCTGTGTGTGTGTGTGTGCCCCTGTGTCCTCCAGCCCCTGCGTGTGTGTGAGGGGGGTGCCTTGTGTGTGTCCGGGCATGTCCCCCAGCCCCTGTGTGTGTGTGGGGGGGGTGCCCTGTGTGTGTGCCCTGTGTGTGCCCCTGTGTCGTCCAGCCCCTGCGTGTGTGTGTGTGAGGGGGGTGCCTTGTGTGTGTCTGGGCATGTCCCCCAGCCCCTGTGTGTGTGTGTCCCCCTGTGTGTGTGTGCGGGGGTGCCCTGCGTGTGCCCCTGTGTCCCCCAGCACCTGTGTGTGTGTGTGTGTGTAGGGGTGCCCCCCAGCCCTTGTGTATGTACGTGCAGTACACCTGTACTGCATGCGCTCAGGTGTGCGTGTGCTCTGTGTGGGGGTGCGGGCAGAGGGTGCCCCTGTGTGTATGCGCTCAGGTGTGCGTGTGTGCATGTGCCCGGGGGGGCAGGGGCAGAGGCAGAGGGTGTCCCTGGGTGTGTAGGGTGTGCATGTGCTGTGCTGTGTGTGTGTGCGTGCGGGGGAGAGGGTGTCCCTATGTGGCAGTGTGTAGGGTATGCATGTGCAGTGTGTATGTGTGTGTGCGCGGGGGGATGGGGGGAAAGGGTGTCCCTGTGTGGGGGTGTGTGAAAGGGATGCCCCAGGTTTGTGTGCTTGGGAGCGAGGTGTGTGGCCCAGTATATTGGTGAGTCAGCAGCAGGGGAAATTGGATCTGTGCTTCCTGACTGAGTTAATGTGCCCAGGAGGCTGAGGCTGGGGAGAGGCCCATGCTGTGGGGCACACGAGGGTTCCTGTCTGTGCCCAGTGCCAGCCCTGCAGATTGTGTGCCAGGCCGGGAGATGCCCTTGTGGACAGCTGATCATTGTGGGGCTGGGCCTGGTGGTGCCTGAGCTGGATGTCTGTCTCTGCCCTGGTGTAACTATGCCTCAGTTTCCCCATCTGTAGGGTGGGGCTGACCCTCCCTCCAATGCTCTGAAGGTGACTCTGAGGAGGGCTGTCTGGAGAGGAGGCTCGGCTCTGCTGGGGTCTGGGGCTGGTTGGGGGACGGGATGGGCTGCAGGAGTATCAGTCTCCGGTCAGGGCCAGCAGCCCGGCCTTTGACGAAGGGCTGGGACCGCGCTATGCCAGCTGGGACTGTATGTGTGCGCATGTCCACTCCCATGCGTGACTGCTGGGGTGCCTGTGTACCTGGGAGTGAATCCTGCTCCACACCAGCCCGCTGCACGGCGGGTGCTGGGGGTGGAAGAAGTCAGTCAGTTCTCAGCTTAGCGGTGGGGCGGCCCTGGTGTGTGACGAGCGATGTCTGGTGTGGGTGTGTGCTGTGGTGGGCTGTTCTTACACGCAGTAGCGTGGGGTGCGTCTCCCTTCCTTGCCCATGTTCCCTGGTCACACTCCCATGGGCCTGCAGCCTCAGCCCACACGCTGGTGTGAATCCTATTGTGCTGGGGTGGGGTAAGGGTTGGGATGTCCCTGCTCTGGGCAGATGCCCACGTGGGAGCTGTGGCAGTGGCTGCGTGGCCAGCCTAGGGAGAAGGCCTCTTGCAGGGCTGCACTGGCACCAGCAGAGAACTGCTTCCCCCACCTGCGCAGGTAGGGCACTGCCAGAGACCCCAGAGCAGGGGGAAGCGAGGAAGCTGCTCCTGGGAGGCCTGGCCTGGGGCCTGCAGGGGGGGGGAGGCGAGGCAGCTTGCAGCCCAGGCCTCACGGTTGTTTATCCCCAGCGTGCTGCTGCTGGCACCGACTGCCCTGGCAGGGCCGCGAATGAAAAGGCGGCTGCGGATGCGGCGAGTAAACAAGCAGCGAGAGACACTGCCATGGCCGGGACAGCGCGAGGGAAGGCTCAGGACTAGGAAAGCAGGGAACTGGGGGTTGGGTTTGAGGGGCACCAGTGTCGGGGGGGGCTGCGGGGCAGCAGTGAGGGGCTCCAGGAGAGCGAGGTTTGGCTTTCTCAGACTGGGATAGTTTTGCAGAGTCCGACCCATGACCCCCGCGCAGCCAGGCGGGGGCTGAAGTGTCTCCACTCGTCTGGAGCAGGGTGAAGGCCAGCGCAGGGCGGCGGGGGGTGGGGCTCTTCCCTCCTGTGCCGGCTGGGCTGGGCACTGGCAGAATCGGCTGCTCCCAGAGGCAGCATCTGCAGCGCTGGGTGTCTGGTGGACACTGTGGGCATCCGGTCAGTGGGGCCGGCCCCTCGTGCTGTGCATGGGGGGCAGCAGCGGGATCCGCGGCACCTGTGCTCCCCTGTGATTCCCTCCTGTGGGCGGCCGCGGGGCGTGGGCAGATGGAGTCCCTGGCCCCCCCGGCCTTGCCAGGACGCTGCGCTTCTCTGCAGTAAATCATAGAATCATAGAATCTCAGGGTTGGAAGGGACCTCAGGAGGTCATCTAGTCCCACCCCCTGCTCAAAGCAGGACCAATCCCCAACTAAATCATCCCAGCCAGGGCTTTGTCAAGCCTGACCTTAAAAACCTCCAAGGAAGGAGACTCCACCACCTCCCTAGGTAACCCATTCCAGTGCTTCACCACCCTCCTAGTGAAATAGTGTTTCCTAATATCCAACCTAGACCTCCCCCACTGCAACTTGAGACCATTGCTCCTTGTTCTGTCATCTGCCACCACTGAGAACAGCCGAGCTCCATCCTCTTTGGAACCCCCCTTCAGGTAGTTGAAAGCAGCTATCAAATCTCCCCTCACTCTTCTCTTCTGCAGACTAAATAACCCCAGTTCCCTCCGCATCGGCCCTGGCCCCCAAGGAGAGACCCCAGCAGGCTGGTGAACCCGGATTGAATGGAGGCAGGAGCTGCCTTGGCTGGGTCTGACTGATGGGGGTGGGAGCCTGGCGCCTCTCTGGGCGGGGGTGGGAGTGGGCGGGCTGGGGGGGCAGCCCCATGGGTAGCCGTGCTGCCAGCCGCCCATCTTCTCATTGCCTCTCCCCCACAGGCCGGAAGTTCATCATCGCCAACGCCCGGGTGGAGAATTGCGCCGTGATCTACTGCAACGATGGCTTCTGCGAGCTGTGCGGGTACACGCGGGCCGAGGTCATGCAGAAGCCATGCACCTGTGACTTCCTGTATGGGCCCCGCACCCAGCGCAGCGCCACCACCCAGATCGCGCAGGCCTTGCTGGGCTCCGAGGAGCGCAAGGTGGAGATCTGCTTCTACCGCAAGGATGGTAGGGACCCCCTGGGCTGCGCTGCCGTGCTGGGAGGTGGGGGGCCGGGCTGGGCATGGGCATGCGGTGCTATGGTGGGGGGCCCGGTGTGGGCACACGGCGCCGTGCTGGGAGGTGGGGGGGCTGGGCCGGGCAGGGGGGCACAGCGCCCTGCTGGAGTGTGGGGGGGGCTGGGTGCAGGCACATGTTGCCTGTCATGGGCATGGGGGGCTGGGCAGGGGGACGTGGCACCTCGGGTGGCTGTGGGGGGCGGGGCTGTGGGGATGCAGCACCACTTATAGATGTGAGGGGGGGAAGGGAGGAGGTGGCACCCCTTCTGCCTCAGCACTGAGGTGACGGTCCAGTCCCAGGGCTGGGGGAGGTGTTCGGAGCTGGTCCCTTCCTGCCCCCCAGCGTGCGCCGTCTCTGTGGGGTGGCAGGGCCTGTGCTGGGCGGACGTCAGGATCGCTCCCATGAAGGGTGTTGGCCGGGGGGCAGGAGAGCCATGGAATGGCAGGCATCAGAGAGGCAACCCACCGCCAGCCACGGGGCCCAGCATCCTGGGGTGTCTGTTGGAGCAGGGCATTGGGCCGTGGGGTCCCATGTTCTGTGCCAAAGCCAGAACACTGGGCTAGCCATTTGTCTGCAGGGGAACGGCCCCAGGCCCCGAACAGCCGGTCTCCTGCGCTGGGGCCCGATCGGAGGCGGTGCCCCCTAGAGGGGAAAGGCCCTGAGTCCTGTCCCGCCTTCCAGAGCCAGCCAGTACCCTGCCATGACCACTTTCCAAGAGGGGTAGAGAGAGCCCAGGGGCCATGGGGGCAGGGCTGTGGGGCCTGGCAGTCTGTGGAGTCCCCATGCCTGTCCCTGTGTGCTCTTGCACGCTCACCCACTGCGCTGCCTGGTGGCGATTTATGATTATTTGTGTGCGTGTGAAAGCGCCGTCCATCACGGGCAGACAGACCCTTGAGTTAACGGCCTGCCGAGGCCCGGCGGCGCGGCGTGGCGATCAGTCAGCGGTGCTGAGGATTGCTGCAGGGTGGGTGGCTCTTGGCGCCAGGGCAGCCCTTGGCACGACGTGCGCACAGCCAGCTGGGTGCTGGCTCGGGGGGCTGAGTGCCTGCGCTCCCCAGCACCTTCCAGCACTCAGCGGGCGAGAGCCATGGTCCCCATGTGGCCCTTGTAGCACGCAGTGTGTCTGGCGCCCCGGTCCCGTGCGCCCCGTCCTATGGCTCTGCCCTCGCCGGCTGGGGAAGAGCAGCCGAGCCAGGCACCCGCCAGTGTCTCTGCCTCCTGCCCAGTAAGCCCTGATCTGGCAGTGGGGTGGGGCAGGGAAAGGAGAGGCAGTCACCCCGTCCCTTCCTGTGGGGCGTTCCTCTTCCAACCACGGCTGGCTGGGGGACCCTGGGCAAGTCCCTCCCCGGCTGGAACCCAGGGCTGATGCTCCAGCCCTGCCCCAGCCTTGCTGTAGCCGTGTGGCACTGGCTAGCCTGCCATGAGCTAGTGCCCACAGGCACCCAGTGTGTGTGCCATTGCCCCACATCCCTGCTTTGTACGGTCTCTTCCCTGCAGGCTGCCCAGGGAGGCTGAGTGCTCCCACGCAATGGAGTGGTGGCAGGCCGGCTGCTCTGCTGTTTGCCCCACCCCGTGGCTACCCCTGCTGCCACCAGTCCTCACCCACTGCCTGCTCTAGTTCCACTGTCCTGCTGATGGCCGGGTGCCCAGCGAGGCCGGACTGCCGTGTGGGAGCGGCTGGCAGCTGCTTGGAGTGTGATGAACACTGCTGAAGTGCGGCTAGCTCTGGGGAGGAGGGCTGCCACCAGCTGTGCACGAGAATGTGGCTGGGCCCTGAGCCATGGCCCAGGTCTCGCAGTGGGGGGCTGCGGGGTATTGCTGGCCAGGCTCTGCAGAGGGGAGCGGAGATGCACACGTGGCCCCTGCAGTGTGGGGCTGAGTGGGGGCCATGGCCTAGGGGTCTGGCCCTTTGCTTGGTGCTAGGAGCCATCCTCCTGCAGGCCCCATGTGAGCGCTGGGGGTGGATGCAGGGCCTGGAGCACGTCCCTGGGGGGAGCCAGCCCTCCCACACCAGGTGTCTCTGCTCTCGCCCAGGCAGCTGCCTCCGGCTCTCAGCAGCCTTCCCCGGTTCCGGCCAGCAGCGTAAACAGACCTGGTTCCCAGCTGCCGGCCCCTTTTGGCTCTGCACCCGCAGCGGGGACCTAAGGACAACGGGTCCTGGCACAACTGGGCAATTCCTGCCCCTGGGCTGGGGGGCAGCTTGTGGGGGGAGTGTCGGGGGTGATAGGCTGTGTCTGGTGCAGGCCTGACAGTCCCACTCCTGGGCTCCTCTCCCCATAAGCCAAGGGGGTCCCGCTGTAAGCCAGGTGGGACGTGAGCTGCTCTCTCAGGCCTGAAGGGGCAAGGAGCTGGAACATGGGGGTGGGTGAGGGGGGTCTAATGCTGGACCAGGGGGTTGGGGGCATGAGGAGGGGTCTGTAAAGCCAGGCGGGGGTGGCTGTCTGTAATGCTGGGCTGGGGGCACGAAGGAGGGGGCTGTAAAGCCGGGCGGGGGCTGGGACTCTGGGGCAGGAGGAGGGGGCCGTAAAGCCGGGCGGGGGCTGGGACTCTGGGGCGGGAGGAGGGGGCTGTAAA